TTAGTGTTCCCAGTGCACTGGCATTTTCTTGGGTGAACACCCATGTCTGGAATGCAGAGCAGAGCTGCCTATGTGTTAAGAAGTTAGCATATTTTTGTTAATAAATGACCTAGTGAATAAATGAATCCACCAGGAACTACAGGGATAACCACTGTAATCAGTCTAGCTACCTATTTTAATGAATCTCAATGTTTTATGTTTAATTTAAAAAATTAAACATGATGTGGAAATTCACTAAATATCTCTCCTTCTAGAATTTTCTAGAATGCTGTAAGCTTCATCTGTTTTGCATTGAATGGTGCTCTTGGGTATAGGAGTGGCTTCTTTCCTCGTGTAAACAAACATATGTTATGTATTATTTCTAGGCAGAAGAGGAATTTCAGAAAGCACAGAAAGTGTTTGAAGAGTTTAATGTTGACTTACAAGAAGAGTTACCTTCACTGTGGTCAAGGTAAATGTGTTTTTATGTACAGCGTGCTTGCCCTCTTTAGATGCTGCGTACAAGTCAGTGTCCCTTACTTGGTGTGTATTGTCTAAACTGTCTTGGTGCTGTCCAGAGGAAGTACTCTACACCTACCCGTGTGGTACCTCCTTGCCACACATGCCTTTGAGCCTCTGGAAGATGGCTACTGTAACTGAAGAACTAAATTTTAATTTTATTTTTGCAGAACTGGGAGTTGAACTCAGGCCCTTGAGCTTGCCAGGGAAGTGCTTATTCTACTAGGCCATCTCCCTGGCCCCCTGAATTTTAAATTTAATATGTTTTATTTAAGTTCATTTAGCTTTAGATGGTCACATGTCCAGCAGCTGCTATATTGGATATGTTTCTCAGTTGGAAGAATCATGAGAAGAACTGCCTGTAATCACACATGTTACAGGAACAGTCTCTTAGCTTCTTGGAGGAACTTCCTTTATTGCAAGAGCTCATCTAGCCTTTCAATTTTGATGTTAAATCTTCTACTTTGAGCCCTGACTTTTTAACCTCCATTTCTAGTTCAGATATTAAATATTCTTCTTGTTTGCAAGTATTCTGCATTTTCAAGAAGTTAAGTTCATTTTTCATAGTTTGTTCTAATTTTCCTGCAGTGGTAGGATTAAAATGTTACCAGGCGAAGTGAGGACTGATGCTCCTACTAGAATTAGAACCCTATGACACCACACCAATAAACAGAACTGTATTAGCTATGGCACATTGCTTTAAGTAAGTTGTTCTGTCCTTAATCTCCAGACATCGGGTTTCCCCTAAGACCTTCCTTATGCCAGGTCTGGAGCTACCTAGATTTCAAGTATGTAAGCATTTTGAGTGTCTAGCCTGGAGTTTGTACATTTTTATGATCATCCTTAGTGCTTTCATATTTTTGCTAATAATATATACTCAGTATTAACTTTTGAACTGTGGAAATATCTATATGAGTTAGATCATTGTAAAATTGGCTTTTACACATAGCTTCAGTGATGTGTAAGACATGTATACTCATCCAGTGAAATTGTCTCATTGGTCACCTTCATTTGCTCATTTTTACAATACCTCCTTTTCTCTGTTTTTGTTATCATCATTAGCAAGTGTACTATATAGGTATACTTTTTAACTAGTACACTGGAAAACTAAGCTTTAGGCATAGCTTTGTTGAGAGGGGCAGCCTACTTACGGCTGTAGAAGATAATGAAATTACCTCATTAATCACCATATACTTAATCATTCAGCATGTGCATCTTTTTGTTTTGATACATGTTCATGACTGCATGGCCAGTGTCATGCATTATACCACAGGTTACATAAAAGATTCAAAGCATTAACTTCTGTTTCAGAGTTGAGCAATACAACTGGGGAGACTACATATGCATTTGTGAAATAACTTGAAAAACCGTGACTACTTGAAATCTCATTTCAGGCAGAGAATCTAGATATAGGTAGTGGTATTCATGGAAGGAAGTCATAGAAATGCTTTTAAATGCCGGCTTTAGGATTTATAAGCTTCACAACCTCAGGCAATGTAATTAGTGAGCAGGATTCTTAGCTTCCTTTATTGTAACATAGATACATCTGTAACTGTGATAGTGAGAGGCCATGTATGTAAAGAACTAGAAAAAGAAAGAACTAGAGTGTTATCTAACAAGGAGAAAGTATTCAGAAAATGGTCTCAGACAACACACACATATCACAGTTATTATGGTTGAGTAATTTAGGTATAATGAAGAAAAACACTATATAGAAAGAAAGACTAGGAACAGATTTTGATCAAAGGAGAGGTTCTTTTGGGGGGGTGGAACTGGGGATTGAACTCAGGCCCTTGTGCTTGCCAGGCAAGTGCTTATTCTACTGAGCTTTTTCCCCACCCACTCCCACCCCTCAAAGAGAGGATCTTGATTAACCAAACGACAGCATAGCCCAATGCTGGATTGCTTTAAAAAGCACTAAAATAATTATAATGTCTATGACTAGAAAAAGAAAAAAGTTCCTTTCCAATATCCTTCAGATACTCTCTTTGTTTTAAAATTCCTAAAAAGTTGTTCATGTTTTAAAGTATTTTGACAACTACTTTATTTTGAATAAGCAAATATGAGTTGGGAATAGTACACCATACAAGCCTGAAATAGTATTGTTCAATGCTAGTTTGGGATGCTTATAGAGATTACAAGGAAACAAATTACTTACTGGTGCAATTTATCTCATCAAGTTGGACAATTTGCTCAAAGGAATTACTTCATCATTATCAATTATCTATTAACTAGGGATATTATGTCCTAAGTGGAAGTATGAACACTGTAGTACACAAAACCTTTTTATGCAGTACTAGGCATTGGGCCCAAAGTCTAAGCTATATTCTCAGCCCTTTTGTTAGTTTTTAGATTGTTGTTAGTTTCTAGTTTTGAGACAAAGTCATACTCAGTTACCAAAGCTGGCCTTGAACTTGTGAACCTCTTACTTTATCCTCTAGAATAGCTGGGATTACAGATACACACACCAGGTGCCCAGTGCCCAGCTATATCCAAGGTCAATTTAAAAAGCAAGGCATAAGCAGTCACACTGTACAAAACAAAAATTCCTTTTTCAGCGTAAACAAATAGAATAACTGCCTTATTGTATGCAAATGTCAACTTGTGTTACGGATGGAATATATGTTAAGGATAATGATAACTCCAGAGAACCACTGGATGATGGGATGGGTAGTGCTGAAATCCTGCAGTATTGTTCATAATCACTTAGAGTGTTAGATGGAATATTCTTTGTGCCTGTTGTAGGTCCAGTTGAAATAACAGTGTTGTTCACATCCTCAATTTCCTTACCACTCTTCTCTCTAATTGCTCTATTCATTGTAGAACATGAAATGTTAAAGACTCACATCTCTCTTCAATTCTCTCAGGTTTTGCTTCATGTATTTTGGGATTCTAATGTTAAGCACACATGTGGTATGCTTGTGATTGCTATATCTTCTTAATGAATCAACTGTTTTATTTCCTCAAATGTCTTTCTTTGTCTCTAATAAAAAATTTGTCTATTGCATTGATACTAATCTACCCACCCCAACTCTGCTTTGGTTGTTCTTTGCATAATATATTTTTATGGGTTATTTTACTTTCAACCTATTTGCATCTCTGAATCAAAGATGTGTCTTCTGTATACTGTATTAAATTGGATCATGTGTGTGTGTGTGTGTGTGTGTGTGTGTGTGTGTGTGCACTCCACTCATTCTGACAACCTCTGCTTTCTGATTGATGTGCCTAATCCATTTGCCTTTAATGTGATTTCTGATAGTAGGGTTAGGTTTACTATTTTGCTAATTGCTTGTAGTGTGTCTTAGGTCGTTTTGTTCCTCTATTCCTCCACTGCTATCATGTATAGAGACTCATTTCTAAAGTTTTCATGTAAAAAAGAGAAATGAGCTATTGCCTAGAGGAGGGTGTAGGCTCACTTTCAAAAGAGGAAGTAGTAGGGTATGTTTATATGCTTTAAAGGTGCTTATAATTCATAAGAGATGATTGAGAAATATTGTTGTAAAGAGGATGATTCCAACGGGAATACTTGAACTAAGTCTTAAATATGAGTAAAGTCAGCATTTGGTGAAGAGAATGCCCAAAGTGGATAAGGAGCCTGGATGAAGGCAGGAGGAATAGAAGCAGATCTGAGGGTCATTAATTAGTTTAATGTAGTGAAAGATCAGAATGAGAGGGCCCAGGAGGGCCTTGCGGCCAAGAAACATGAGAGAGGCAGGGGTAGATTCATGCATTCATCAAATATTTATTGACCACCTATTGTGCACCAAGTTCTCTTTGAAGGGCTGAAAGATCCTTGATGATTTTATTTTCTTACAGCTTGTATTGAAGGGTAGGGTAAAGCAGGTACTGAGCCATGAAATTTAAAAAACTGAAATGTCACACAATAAATTCAAAGCAGAAAATGAGGAACATGATTAAATAGAGAGTAACACTGGGTGGATAACCAGCGCCACTAAATGACCATAGGATATATGAGGAAATTGGCTCCCAAAGACACAGATTATATGTAAAGAAAAGGAAAATTTGAAAAACTACTGGGTTCTGTTTTTCAGATGCTTACAGCTGTTCCTATGAAATGTGATCAAAACATACAGTGAATGTTTAAATTAAGCAAATATAATAAAAGATACATTTGCTTTTAATTACTCTCAAAACTCTTCCCATAACTTGGAACATGCTTATCCTATCCCTTTTGCCACTGTCTGAAGCAGTTCTGGAGATCTTCTTTTGTGAGTGTCTTGTTTTTTTGTTTTGTCTTTGTTTTTTTCTACCAGGGATCAAACTCAGAACCTTGTGCTTGCCAGCCAAGCACTGTGCCACTTCCACAAGAGCCCTTGTGCCACAAGGGCCGAGCTATCTCCCCGGCTCTTGTGAATGTCTTTAATAATGGTGTCATGGCTTCCCTGATGTCCTAACTCAGTTCGAAACCTTTATCTATCATGGTTGTCTTGGCTTTGAGGAAGAATTGGAAGTTACATGATTCCAGATTGGAAGATTAATATGACAGATAAGGATATACTGTAAGACTTTGTTTTCTGTTTTTTGTTTTTCTTTTTTTGTGGAACCAGGAGTTGAACTCAGGCCCTTGCACTTGCCAGGAAAGTGCTTATTCCACTGAGCCATCTCCCTGGCCCCCTGTAAGACTTTTACTTCACAGAAATTATCATAAATGTTTTAAATCAATTAACAACATTGGGACAACAATGACAGCTCAACTAAAGACACTCATAAAAGAGGACTTCCGGAACTTCTTCAGAAAATGGCAAGACTAAGGGAATAAGTGTTTTTGAAATGAAGGGGGGATGTTCTGAGGTGACTTAACTGTAGGTTTTCTTTTAGTGTAATAAACATTTTAAATTTAAGTATTTACTGTATATTTCAGTATCCCTTTGTATGGCATTAGATATAAAAGTGCAAAAGAGAGTTAAAAGTCATTTCTATATGAATAGAAAT